GCTTCGGCTCGCGTTTCTTCTGCGGCGCCGGTATTCCCCACTATGCTAGATCGGGTGTTTACCTGAGCCCCAAGAATAGAATACACGTAAGCTTCTATGCTGCGGTTTAAACGGGCAAGGCCGGCTTTGGTTAACCCTTTACCTTCTGGGGGTATGAAATTAAGATATTGCTTTGTTTGCTCGTCGTTGGTAATCTTAATAATCAGTGGATTGGCCCCCGCATACTTACCACCCTCGTCTTTGAACAGAGGTCCGTCTCTAACTTCCTTAGTGGTCTTAGCATTTGGTTCAAAGAAGGTGCTACTGTCGTGAGTTTCTTTGTGACACCCAGTGTTCCATCGCAACTGCAGCGAATGCACTTCCTTATCGCTTAGCACATGTCCACCAATCCCCCAATAAGCCCAAATATGTCCCAAACCATTGTTAGCACCCGCGGTACATCTAAAGTCTTTTCCCACAACTCCAAACTCCTTACAAAGCCTGTCATAGGCTGGAACGTCGTATTTGTTATCTCTTGGATAAAACGCAGCATCTCCCGGCAGCGCAATAACACCCATTTCATGCAGTATTCTTCTAACCGTGAAGTGAAAATGAAACATGAATATTGAATTCTTCATCAAGTTTGCACTTACACCGCAGCCGCTAGTGGCACACCAAACTGCAAAGTTCAACTGCTGCGGCCAATAACGCATGTTAGGACCACTTAACCATTCATGAGATTCCTTAGCGGTGGTATGATTAATGGGCACGTTTTTGAAGATATCTCGCACCTTTAACGGAAAGGAATGGTTGCTAGAGATCCGCATGTTCAGCGTTAGGTCCAAGCTTGGGTGTTTATCAAATGAAACTGCGGGTATCGGATAAGTACTGGTACCCAGCAATAATTCCTGCGACCAACCTTGCACGGGTTTAGGTGTGGGATGCTGCACAGATACCGTAGGCGTGGAATGCTGCAGCTGATCGTCTATCTGATCGACCAGCGCAGGTTTCAAATCCTCATTGCTGTACATTCTGGAGCCGTTATAGTAAATCCCATCGGGTCTTCTTTCGAACTTACTAGGGTCTGCATGCGGAAACATCTTCCTAAAGGCCCTCCAGTTCCAATAATCGCGGTTGTCGTGATGTGGCTGCTCCTCTATGTTATTCCCAAAGGCGTCGTACATTAGTATATATAATGGATGTTATACCATCAGCACCTCCACTTTATCCTGATTTACCTAAGGAGGGACCTAACAAATTAAACGCCGAGAACTTCCGCTTGAATAAAGCAAATTTAATCCTAACTTACTTAGAGGGGCAAACGAAGCACTATGAGGAGGTCAGGAAAAAGTATGCTAGAGCCCGAAGCATATTACATAAAATCGCGATAACTTCCGGCTCCATGTCCGTGGCGTTAACAGGCACTGGCGTTGCTACTTCGCTTACTGGACCTGGAATAGTCGTTGGCGTTCCTTTGGCCGGCGTTGGAGCCGTCTGCGGCATTGTTTCCGCTGTTACGACAGGCATTATGAAGCAACTGTCCGGTAAGATATCCAAGCACGACACTCACATAGCCCTAGCAAGAGCAAAGGCTAACACCATCGCCGACTTGGTCTCCAAGGCTTTGCGGGACCGCCGCATAGACGACACGGAGTTCTCTTTGATCCTCGCGGAGGAAAAGAAATACGGGGAGCTAAAGTCGGGTAATAAAAAAACCATCGTGAAAGATCTTTCCGAGGAATCTCGCAAAAAGATCTACCAGGAGGCAAAAGAAGAGCT